CCCATCGGTGCGTACTCTTAATCCGACGTTTCTTTTTTCAACTACAAAAGAAAGATTAATTTGATTGAAACTTTGCCATGCAATAGAATCGAAAGGATGACGCATTACTCATGCATCATCTCTCCCATGTTCAGCATGCCATATCATCAACTCGGCTTGTCACATTCCGTGTATACAATCGCTACGTACGCGGGTTTAGAGGGAAGTAGGACATTTTTTTAATTGGAATAAGTTTTCCTCTTCTTGATCCTCGAAGGTAACTTCAATATCAAGAATGTTGACAAAACTCGTATTTATCTAATTTATTGTCTTCCTTTTAATAGATCATGCACCCGTTCTAACAATAATGAATTTTTTCCATCGATAAACCCATCTCCTTAACCAACTTCTTTGTTTCATAAAAATTGTTTATCATATAGTTATCAATTAGCATCAACTCATTCATCGACTCACATAACCGGTCGAAACACTTCTTTAGAAAATGATATTCGATTTTTAGATTCAGCATTCGAGCAACCGCCGATAATTACGAGTGCTCATCACAATCGGACCAAATCTCCATACGTGATGCATTCAACATATCATAAAAATGTTTGGCACTATGATTAGGAACCTCCTCTCGTGTTAGACGGATTGAAGGATGGATCAACTGCATCCATTACCATAGTTTGATATGGGTTTTGATGTTCACTAGAACTACCTTCGCCTATATAGTAATTTTCATAAACATATTGACTCCTAGAATTAACGGATGCCATGTAGCATTCAAATTTGCCATGATGTACCCAATTATAATATCCCGACACAAAACCCTTATGGAACAAATGATATTTTACATTTTCAACCTCCTCATAATTTTTGTTTCGACATTTACTAAAATTACAATGACACATAATTTTGGTTTCGTCCATACATTCGGGATACTCAACAAGAAAAGCTAAAAATTATTTGACCCTCTAACAAAGTCATCATTTAACAACCCGTTAACTAACCTAACATTCATCCATTGTCAATCGGATCTCATTTTTGTAATTACTGTAAGAATGACACAACCAATGCAAACAACCACTTATCATCATTCCTATGAATTTAAATACAAAAATTAAGCATATATATTAGTTGTGTAATTGTCTCTAATTAGTTATGAATTTTGTTTTAATAATTTGACTTTATATTTAATTGATAGTTTAAAGAATTATTTTTTTTATTTTTTTATTCTTAAATATAAATACTTAATTTTATAATATTCAATGATTTATTGTGTAATTTTTTTTTTTAACATTTTCTACCTTAAGTCGAATAATAACCCTAACCTAAACCAAACATTTTCTTTCAATTTGAATATCAATTTTTCATATAATTTCATTCAACTATACCTAAACTAACTCAATTAGGCATTAATTGATCAATTACATACATAAACTCCAAATTGGGCCTTATTGGGCCTAAACCCTAATTTAGGTAATTTAAGCTATTTTTTCAATTTAAATGTGATTTCTCATTCTAACTCATGTAATTACATTATCCTAAGTCTAAATTAATTAATTGAAGTATTAATTAGAAGTCAATTACACCTAAACCCCGATTTATTCCTAATTTGGGTCGAATGTGGGCCTAAGATATTTAGATAAATTCTTCAATTTTTATGAAAATTTTCACTTTCATTCATCAATTCACACTTAACTAACTCCTAACTAACCAATAGTGCATTAACTAGGCAAAAGAAATCAAACCCTAATTTTACCAACTTTGGGCCGAATGGCCTAATTTAGGGATTAAGTGAAATTTTATATGAAATTTTATCAATTTCACTTAAATTACATGAAATTTTATATATATTGAAGCTAAAAATGTTAATTTTTATTAAATTTTCCTAATTAATTTAATAATAAATTCAACTAAATTTAATTTAATTTATCCTAAATAAAATGTTTATCAAATTCTATTAATTAATAAAATGTTTATTAAATTTTAACGTTTATGTTTATTTTCTAACTACATTTTTTTCCAATTTTTATTAAATTAATAAATTAACAATAAATCAACCTTAATTAAATTACATAAAAAAATTACATTAATAAAGTTAAACCTAAAAAATTAACATAATTAAAATTTTTTAGGTTTACATTAACATAAAAATTAACCTAAAAATTAACATACTTAAAAATAACACTTAAAAAAATTAATCTAACAGCTTAAGAAAATTAATAAACAATTAAAAAATTTATACTAATAATTAACATACAACTTAACATATTTAAAAATTAACATAAAAATAAAATTAATAATATTCAAATAATTAATCGACTAACAAGTAACAAAATTAATCTAAAATTTTTTAACATTTATTTAATTTTTTAAAAAAACATACGAGTTAGAGAGAAAGTTTTACCCGAGAGATCGAGAGAGAGAGAGCGATGATCCGGTCTAATTTTGAGAGAGAAAGATGCACCTCACTTTATTGAACAGTTTGGGGAGTCACTTAATAGCGTGGGTGGTGGTTTTGTGGTCGGCAGCGCTATTTTTAGTGGAGGAGAGGAGGAGCCGAATGGGGGAAGAAAGAGGGGGAGGGGAATTCAAAGAGCAATTAGCGAGGGACGTGTATCCTCCACTAATTAGCGATGGATTTTCAATTTGTTGCTAAATTGGTGGTTTGGGCGGGAATCCCCCCAAAAAGCACCAAATTCAATCCGTCGTTAAATTAGGCCTTTTTTGGGAGGAAAATTCTCGCCCAAAGCTCCAAAGTAGCATGGATTCTAATCCGTCGCTACTTTGACATCCAAATTAGTGTCCAATCCATCGCTAATTTTGCAATTTTAGGTGGGAATTTTCCTCTAAAATGCCCAATTTAACGATGGATTTGCAATCCATCGCTACTTTATACCTCGAAAGATGAACCTTGTTCTTTTTATTTAGCGATGGAATAAATCTATCGCTATTTAATGACCGATAGATTGTATTCCGTAGCTAAATTAGTGACGAACTTCGTCATTAGTATGTCGCCGATCGTGGCCCTTTATTTGTTGTGTTATTTTGCAACGAAATTAATTCCGTCGTTAGTCCGTCGTAAAAATCAATTTTTTCTCGTTGGTCACTAATTTGTCATTAATTAGAGACAAAATAGTATATGTCGCTAATTGTCAATTTTCTTATAGTGTTAACACCTTCTTTGATGTGAAGAAGCACGTCCAATTCGATGTCTTTCAAGCTCCGAGTAACAAAATGCATTTGTATCTTTTTTCTCTGTTTCTCTTATTCCATTCTTTCAAGGAATATATCGGTAAGTGCTTCATCAAATACCCATCAAAGGTTTAATAACACTAATTTTTATTAATTAACACCCCATGAATATAAATTTCCTTTAAGCACCGAACGAATACCCAATCCATTCAAATTGATTCTTACCACTCAAGTTGTGCAAAAGCCCAAAAAAGAATGAAAAGGAAGTTTTAGAGTAACATAGTTAGTGACCTTGTTAAAATACAAAAAAGATGTACTCAAATCTTGATTTCCTCCACTTGGCTATGGGATGTTCAAATTTTGTCCTTCCAAGTATCAACACTAAAAAAGAAGTAAAATCAACCAAACAAGGTGGTGAATTTACAACAACAACATAAGGTAATGTAAAAATCAAAATATGAATGATTTGAAAACAAGAATAAAGGTCACCGAAAGTAATCAAGAATGCATGGAAAGAAGGATAAGAAAACAAGAATTTCACCTTTTCTTCAAGAATCAAGATTATACAACAAAAAGGTCCACAAGACACTATGCTACATGATAACAAAATTAAACAAGCATGAAAAAAATCACTAATAGTAATGAAGTATGCATCAAAGAAAATCCAAGAAACCAAAAATTCACAAATTTTTTCAAGAATCAAGAATACACAACAAAAAGGTCAACATTAAATAAATAAATAAATAAAAACATGAATGAGGTTTACTAGGTTATTTGATACACGGGATTTAAGAAAATCCAAGAAATCAAAAAATTCAAAAACTTTTTGAGAACCAAGAATACACAACAAAAAGGTCAACATTAAAAAAAAAATGGATCGTAGGAGTTGGTTGCTAATCATGTTTCTATGTTTGGATTAATCAATCAAAACATGCAAGAAAAAAAAGGATAAGTAGTAGTTGTTGAGTAAGAAAGAGAGAGTGATCGAAAATGCTCATCTTTCTTTGGTATTTATGAGAAATTTTATAATACACAAGTGGCTTTCTCCTTTTTTCAGATTCCTCTTGAATTTTTTGCAATTATAATGAAAACCCTAATTCCCCTCTCTTTTCTCTTCAAATTGCTCTTGAATTTTTTGCAATGATGATGAAAACCCTAATTCCCTTGCTTTCTCTTCAAATTGCTTTTGAGTTTTTTTACAAGAGAGAGACCTTGGCTTTCATTTTTTTGCAAGCCACTATAAAACCTTAATCTCACACATCTTTCCTTTTTTTTTTCCTTTTTTTCAGTAATCCATATAATAATTACCCCTTATGTATTATAAATTTTTTCATTACAAGATGGTTGAGGCAACATACCTCATTATTTTTATATTTTTACTACCCCTTCATGTTGCACAATGTGATGATTGCTTAATCAAAACATAATATTATCATGGCGATCAGCTCATATTAGAGTTATTGTGGAAGCACCAGGTAATCCAGTTTTTAGACCAAATTCATCAATTCAGGCCTACGATTATGCAGATTGGCATTATCATCAACCGAAGTGCAGATGATAACAGTTGCTTTCAATGAAGACTTGAGTATCATGCAGTTCATACATGTTCCAACTTCCATGAGAGCGAGGTACAAAACCAACAAAATATGCACATCTACATCAAGGTGAGGTTCAATGTGGAGGCAAAATGGTATTACTTGGAGAAAAATTGTTCGATTTTAACTCCCTGCTTTTTCTCCAACTGCCCCTACGTCTTCTAAAATTCTTTTCTCTATATATATCAACACTGTTTATTCTCAACATAATACTGCAGTTGAGGATTATGCATCAATCTCTCCAGTCTCTGCACGATGGCCAGACTCTGATGCAGAGATTGATGATGCAGCAGTCTTGCCTTTATTATCTGATGATGTCGTGGGAGCCAAAGGTTTGCTTTCCTCAGTCTCTGGCTTCTGTAGTAGTTGGAGCTGACTTTGCAGGACCTATTGAAAAGGGTAAATGGCAGATCAAGAGAAACATGTCAATGAGAAATCAATATAATTTCCTTAGAATGACAAACATGTAAAGCTCAGAAGACAATCAACTAGAACAAATCCATTGTTAATCTATCTACAAGAGAAATTATTTGTTAATCAAGTAGAACAAATATAATTATTTCCCCCACCCACGTCATAACTACCCAAGGGTCTTACTTTTATGTGATTGGAGGAGCTATACATCAGGAGCATCTAATCATATCTCTTGTTAATAAAGTGCATAGAGGACAACAACCAATTCCCACAAACAAGGCCGTATGAGCTTGTGTAACTTTCTATGCTGGTTCACAACTCAACATGGAAATGAACAAAACCTTTATTCCAGAAAGGAAAAAGACACATTTTGCAGACGCATGCAAACAGGATATTTGCTGATTTTGTAACTTTCACAAGCTCACATCAGGCCACAGTATTTACATAATTAAGCTTGTTATACATTGAATAACATGAAACAATTACATGGAAAAGGACCTAGAATCAGAATCTTGCCGATATTACAAATAATATTCACTCCTCGATCAACATTGAATCACACAAACCAAAATAATAATAATAATAGTAATAATAATGATAATAAGGGACAGAAAAGAATCTGCAAAGTGCACTTAATGATACCTCAATCTGGTGTTGGATAAACTTTTTCTGAACTTCCAACTGAGAGTTTGATGGACTGCCTACTGTCTCTCCCTGATGCACGCTAGCACCAGGTGCCTGAAAGGGGACAAAGACACAGTGGGGAAGCTGAGGCAAGGACAAGTTTGATGGCCCACCATGGATAGAAAACTGCACATATGGTTGTCCAGTAAACCCTTGCTCTCCACCAGGCTCCATGCTAGTGCTTTCAGCCGAAGGTCTTTGAACCTGAGGGACTGAGACATACCCAGGAGACCTACAAATACCGAGGATTAATTCTTTCCAAAATTCAACTAGAGCCACTAGTTGAAACCACAAATTGGTTAGCAGAGGGCATAAGTATAGGAATATACAGGACGGGCCTTCATCATGTCTGAAAAATACATAGTAGGATTGGGAATGAAGAAAGTAATTAAGCATATTAGACCTCAAGATATCTGTCATGTCATCAATCAGACCTTCAAAGTAGTTAAGCCATCATTGGTTCATAAACAAAAACTTAATACCCTAGTTAGTTTCAACACAAAAATTACAAGAACATGTTTCTGAGGTGCCAAGTTTAGAGTTCATTTCAAACTGTTTGACATAGATTGCAAACAAGGATGCCAGGAGCAAACATGTATATCTGTGTAAGAATAGACATCCACAGGCACACAAATCAAATATAAGATGAGTTAATGAAACTAAGATTGTACACAGTGCACATGCTGTTTGTTAATATATAGATATTACTACTGCATAGAAGGACATACCACACTAGATTGCTTGCGGAAGGATATGTGAATGACTTCTCATATACAGAAGCAGCAGAAGCAGCAGCAGCTTGAAGTCTGGCCTGATTCCGGCTCAAACTATCATCGGCCACACCACCAGCTGAAAACTGAGCTGCAGTAGTTTCAGTGCCTGTTCCTGTTCAAAATTACAACAATTAGTCAATGAAATTCAAAATCAAGCCAGCTTCACTGAATAATTATAAAACCACAAAGGATAAGTTTCTCTGCTGCTCCAACAACATAACTTAAAAAATGAGAGCACTGAATGACGAATGAAAAAAGGAAAATACAACCCACAAAGAAAATCGAGATTTTTTTTTTTATCATGCAGTACTATTTCCATCAAAGTAAATGATTATACAATAGCAGTCTCCTAGGTTGATCAAAATGCATGATTCCATAGCTTATTAATAATGGCTATGGATTAAGCTGGCTTCTGACCTTATCCGACTAACAGTTAGATAACAACACTCTGCATAGAAAAAGGGCAATGGGCTAAAATCACTTCATAAATCTGGTCTCCAAACATAGTTGAATGCTCCTTCTCTCATTTCAGGTATATCATGCTGTGTCTGCAGGATAAAGGCCTTTTTCATGCCCCATCCATGTGGCATTTTCAATCATTCTATAGTTTTCAATGTGATACCTTTCATTTGCTCCATTACATTCTCCATTAAATTAATGAAGCTGTAGGTTGAATCCTATAGAAAGCCATATTCATTGAAGCACATAGGGGCTTTAAAGCAACAAGGCTAGCTAGAGCCCATTTATTCACATACTAGAAGGTTCCACAACTTTTGAACCAGTGAGTGCATTACCGAGACAGAGTTAGGATGAAAATGGTCTCATCCAAAGTGACTAGCAAGTTGGTATTGTCGAGGTCATTCTCACATGGGGACTAACCAAAATATTTTAATTCTCATGATATCTTCAATGGTCTTTTTTGTCTTTACTTGATAATAAAACCCTCAAACAAAGCTTTTATCGCTTTAAAAAGCTCCACTCCTTGGTTCTTTTAGAATAGTAACCTCAATAATCCGTTATATAAAGCTAAAAAAAGGTATTATTCTAAGAGTAGACATAAGTAGCCAAAAAAAAAAAAAAACCAAAGGTGATTAGTGTCTCTTGCAACTGGCATGAGGCACTTGCCCAGACAGCACCAAATCAAATAGTCTCACCTGAAGGCATTTGAGCCAGCAAGGCAGGGTGCCTCATAATAATGCTGAAGATACCAATATCACTATTCATGTTGTCAATTAAAAAAATGGTGAACATAAAAGAGTGTAACTACAAAATCAACTCAACTTTTTACTGTCTATTCATTTAGTATTCACCTATTGTTTGACTTCTACAAAGCCACCACATTAGCAGATCTAATAAATTTATCTGCAAACAATTAGCCATCTACGTGGGTTCATTCAATATAAAACAATGCTCAAGTAACATGATTTGTAATTATAGCTGCTCTGTAGAATAAGCTTAAAGAAGAAGAGGATTTGTGATGATATGGCACCATAATTACCCTGTTGACGAGTATCTGGCTGTGCTCCGCGTTGTCCGCCAGCTGTACTTGCACCATTTTCAGATGGTACAACTAGGGCTCTGCATGTAGGGCAAGTATGCTGTCGCTCCAACCACGAACGCAGACAATGAACATGAAAAAGATGTCCACAGATTAACTTTTTGGCTGTGGTCATCTCTTCACGACAAATAATGCAGGTTGCATCACTTCTGAACATTTATGAGGAAAAAACTTAATAATGTTGATGCAAATGAACATTCAATAAGGTGCCATAAACATAAATGCTAGAGAAGATATAGAACTCACGCATTAAGCTCTTCGGCTGTCGCATCTGGAAACCGATCATTCATATTGGAAGTGATCTTCCGATAACGAATGTAATCAGCAACTCGAATTTTGAAATTCCTGAATGTCTCATAAAGCTCCCGTATCAAGTGCAAAGGCACACCATAGTTCCTGAAGAAACAAACTCAGATTTATTCAAGGAACAAATATATTAAAAAGTATAGGGTGCAGTGCATAACTTAAAAACATATTAAAACATCTACAAACAAGCAAATGAAAAGAAAAATCTACAGGAATGAAATAAATAAACAAATTCCATTGGCTGTAATACAAATCAATAAATGATTTAAAACAAATTTCCATATAAACAAACAATTTAAACACAAATTGCAACAATTCAAATTATTCAAGCATCAACTCAACACATGCTTTCTGCAACACCACTTCCAATTTTCTTGCAATTTACCCGTTGAAACAAAAATTTTCCTATAGTACAATTTTAATTTCCTATACCATCAAGAACATTTTCCAATCCAGGCCTCTACGTTTGTAGTCCATGCAGACATAGAAGATGATATACCCTTGAAATATCAATTTAAGTTAGCATTTCTAATGCACTTTCAGTTCATAAGGGGCTTTGAGATAAATAGGTTGAGAATCAGTTTTTTAATGCAGCGACAATAACAAGTTCAACCTGAGATGTAATCCCAATGTCATTCCAAGAAGAAACAAATGTACATGTTTGGGCGTGCAATGTTAAGATGGATCACGAAAAAAATGCTACAGAAGTTTAAATAGGTCCCTAATAGCACACCCACTACTTTCTTGTTGAGCCGCTTCCATGTTTTAAAAATCCACCCTTGCTAATACTTTTCACACAAGATGTATAGGCACAAATAATGTGGCACACATAAATTCTCTGGCCCCACTTTCAGAAATACAGAAAATGAGACACCTGCCATTGAGGTTTCTTTCTAGTTATTACCAGATTGTGTTTCAAAATAAATGTAAATGCAAATAGAAAATACACATATATACATGAATGTGTATACATGTCATGTATGCGCATGCAAAGATTTATTTGATGAAAAAAAACCATTTTCAATAGATATTAATGAAAATAACCATTAAAAATGTCTTAAGGCATTGTTCCATTCTACATAGATTGGACTCTGAACCACAGTTCTTTAGCCATGTCACAACAATTTGAGTTTCTCAGCAGTCAAAGAAAGAAGTCACTTCCTGAAATCACAAATAATAACAAGGGACGGTCATGGTTTCAAATGTCTGCTGCTATGCATCATACGATCCATTACATAATATATTTTTGGACTATGTTACAGCCAACTATTCAATGGATCACAACACCTACAATAAGTAAAACTGACATGACTATCACATCTAACTCGCAATAGCCAGCTTCTATAACTTCATTTCTGTGTTTTATAACAATGGAGGTGACCATGATTTTTTCCATCCAACCTTAAAAAAGATACTTGAAATATGTCCTATCAGTCAAAAAGCTCCCTGATAACATCACTCCAACGAAAATTAGTAGGAAGAGGTTACAATAGTTGCCGAGTAAATTTTGTCCGTCTTCAACTCATCATTGTGGAAACAGGTTAGCAAGTCAATATCGCATAGTATCCTTCACACGTGTTATATCTATATGTGGGCAAATACTCTCATTGCAGCATGTAAATGTGTATAACCTTGAATGTCTATACTCTCATTGTTCCAACAATATCGTAGTTGATAAAAAAGTAATGTCCATGTGGGTGAATAGAGTAAACCACAAATAATTTTCATAAATCCAAGATGACAGAATGACAATTAAGGTCAAATTTGATTACTTACATGAAAATGACAAGGAAGAAGCACAAATACATGGACAAGTGAAGCAAGTCCCGAACAAGTTCCAAGTAGAAGGTGTAGACAGGCTTTTTTTCCCATTGTCCTTCCATAAGCATGTCACTTACATAGAATACATATTTTACAAATGTTGACACCGTTGTTGTCGCCAGTATCATGTACCTATGATTCAAAATGGCAGACATTAATGCAACAGCAAACAAACAACACAGGAATTTTGAATTGCAAGACAAGTGTATTCCTAGAGTATAGAATTGAGTAATTTCACAAGCATAGAGATAGAAAAATTGATGATGCTTGGTTTTCTTACAATAATACCCAAATTTTCCAGAATTGATTTTCAGAAAATCCAGAGAAACTAAGAGGGAACATCATAGATAGCATCTTAACATAAGAAGATCATAAACAGCAATTAGAACCCAACATGCTAAGAGTATGGCCGCCACTGATTTTCCAGGACCACACTTTCAGCAGCATGAGTGCCAGTCAAAAATCAAATCGGAATTTCTTTCAAGCTTAAAACCCCTGTGCAGTTTCGATCAAATCTACAGGCACTTTCACATCTCTAAGTTCCTCGTATTACAGCAGAAATCCACTTCAATAAACCCCTAAACAGCCTCCAAAAGTCAGATCCAGAACAGCCCCTAAGCTGTCCTACATCACTATGTGTAGCACATATACATGATCAATTGCATTACTATATTAGCAAGTATCGTCTGTATTAACTCAATAGAACATGAGTAGTAGAGGTGATGAGTTTAGCTATGAGATTACAAGGCATTAAGAAGCACGAACATAAACAAATACATAAAAGTGGCATGGCAGTTGAATGTAAGAAGATAATAGGGTAGGGTTGTGATGAAAGAAACAATAAATAATAAAAGGGAAAAGGGATGAGCATAGTTATAGCACTTACTCGAACGAGAAGAAGAGAGACACAGAAGCCTGCCTTGTTTCAAGCAAATACTTTACAGAAGTGTACAAAAAGAGGCTGTCTAGGAGAAGAAGGAAGCCCAGAAAGGAAACAATCCGAACATGAGATAAGCAGTTAACAGATGGTGTTGTCTCAATGTACTCAACCCTCTTTTGAGCCAACCAATGCAAAGCCTTGATTAGCAACAAAGTGGTGACCATAGCAAGAAAGGTTACGGAGAAATCCTGCCTAAAAATAGTGATGGCAAACAGAATTTCCATCAGCTCTCTCCAAGATTGCTCATTCAACCTCTCAACCTCAGCTTCGCGGAGGGAACCAAGGAACAGCCTCTTAGTTAATTGCCACAAAATGCACATAATCACCAAACCCATGTTCAGAAGAAGCACTAAACTGATCTTAGAGGTAGACAAATAAACCATTGCCGGATAAAACTGCCCTCTACTGTTGAATGCATGATAAATTACGGCTAGAGTCGCCATCAAACTAAGGCTCGCGTATGTGCGCAGCCGCATCATTTTCTTTTTCTTCTTCTCGTCGTCTCAATCTGAAACCCTAAATGTACACCTACGAATATAATCAACAAAACATATGAAATCAAAATCCCTAAGAGATCCTATATTTTCATCCAAATCCCTAAGAGATCCTATATTTTCAACAATCAAACCAAAAATTAAATTACCCTTTCTATATATATATATATACGCGTGTGTGGGGTGTGTGTGTCGCGTCACCCTACCCAATTAATAGAAGCCACGTATCTAAGGCTCGCTAATATCACTTTATGGTCAATGTTGCTTCTACCTTCTCCTTCGTACTTTAATAGTACTTTTTTATTAATATGTAAATAAGTTTACACACCAAAAATATGTACTGTTAAAAATGAAACATCTTTAAAAATATTATTAACGAATAATAGCAAGAAAATAGTATTGAAAACCTATATAATAATATAAAAAAATTGATTCATTATAGTAAAAAAAATGTATAAAACTATTTTTAAAAATTTAATCTTCCTAATACTTTTACAATTTTTTAAAAAATATTTTGATTATTTTCATTTTATTAAGTCATGCAAAATAATAAACCAAGTTTAGAATTTTTTTTGAAAAATATACATTTAAAAAATGATGACATATTCATCACAACAGTAAATTTCACTTTCTCATCACTTTGTAAAAAAATAAGATCAGTGGGGTTAGAATAAGAAATCACATTCCCACCAAAAAACAAAAACAAAAGAAGCTGAAAAATGAGATTTGGATCATAATTATAGAACACTCGGGTGGCTGTTGGAGTAAAACCATTCAATAACACAAAGAGTTACAGTGATCTAAATTTTGAAACGCTGCAATACCAAAATTTTGAATTTGGATAAATAAAAAAATATATATATTTTTTAATATATGCAAAACAACCTTCTAAATATACCCTTCCAACACAATTTTTTTTTATAGTTCCGTACCAAAATTTCAAAATTCAAAAATAAATCTTAATATTTCAATTTAACTTTATTTTAATAACCAAGAAAAAAGAGTAAGAACTTTGTTTGAAAAACTAAACCCTTCAAGCTGAAAATTTCATTTCTTTTTCTAACTAATCCTAAACTTTGCAAATTTCAGACTGAGAACTTTCTTTGAAAACCTAACCTTTTGAAGTCGTAGATTAGCTATTACTTCCCTTTCAATCCTCTACCATAAAATCAAAACTTTATTAGGAATTTAATCCCTTCTAATATGAATTTTTTTTTCAACTAGTCCTAAACATTCGAAAGAATTTCTTTGATAATCAACCACTCAAAGCTATAATTTACCTTTTATTTTACAACTAATCCTAAAATTAAAAACTCTAATTAACAAAGATTGCGCTAGAAAAAGATGAAGAACACAACCATAAGAAACTGTAAATTGGTGAAACGTAATCCAAGGATTTAACTAATTTTGGAGATACAATTGAATTTAACGAGTTAAAACACATATAGAATTCAACATTACATTTGGTTTGATTCAAACCTTCAATTGTTAAGTCATCAATCTTGAGACTCTTTTCCTTTGATTGAGTTCATGAATGTAATTATTGTTCAATAAGACGTTGAATTTTTGGAATAGAGTCTAATGAAACCTTTTCTCTTGCGATCTGCTAATACTAGATACAATCCGAAAAGGTTTGTTATCGTTGTTGGTTTTTCAAATGACCGGAAAAGCCTTTGGGTTAAAGAGATGGGATTTGCATCCGTTCTTGAAATGCATCTTTATTGTCTCGATCGTCACTTGTGTTTGTGGCTTCTTTTTTTAAGTTGAATCTAGTATCTAGAAAACTTAAATTGAGAAAATGGATCAAAGTCTAGCTCATTGATTGTAATAACACATCCTAAAAATAAAATAAAATTAGTAATTTATATGTTTTTTGGCTTAAAGAAAATAGTTAAAAGTTAATAAGAGGTTAATTGTATTTTTAGTGTATATATATATATATAAAAAAAAATTGCCATCTTTGTTTAAAAAACAAGACAACTCTATTTTTTCCCTTTCTCTCATTCTCATCTTCTTCATTTCTCACCCTTAGAATTCCCTCTACTTCCTCAATTTCACTCTTTTTATGCTAACATCTTGACCAAATATCCTAGAAAACCATGAAAACAAGATGATTAAAGTGACATTTAACAAAAAAATAAAAAAAATGCATTAATTGGGTGGATGGGCTCGAAATCAAACCACACATACGGCACAACGAAGAAAAAAAGAAATCGAAGAAAATTGAATGAATAAGAGAACTAGGTGTGTAGTGACGAGTAAGTGAATAGCTACACATCCAGTTCTTTTAGTTTTTTTTTTTTTAATTATTAGTTCAATTTTTTTTTTAAAAAAAAATTCTTAATTGAGTTACCAAAATAACAATGCTATGACTACTTATGATTTTTTTTTTACTAAATATGAATATCGACTTGACTTTGTCCCAAGCAATTTTAATGAATTAATTTGATAGTTAAAAATGCATATTTTATTTTTTCAATTTAAATCTTAAAGTCAATATTTATAAAAATTTATTAAATTTTTCTAAATGCATATTATATTGTAAGATTGTAAATATATATTGTTGAAATTCCCTTAAAACTTGTTGATATAACAATCATAGCTCGTCTTTGTATTTCGAGTTTTCTATATTAAACAAACGTTGGAATATATTTTTCAATAGTTTTTTAATGTAATTACCAAACATCAAAAAGTATTTTTTTGAAAAATAATTTTCTGAAAAATAACTCGCTCCAAAATTGTTTTTCCTATTGAAAGTTGTTTTCCGTCGAACAAATAAAGTCTAAAAATACACAAATGAAAATACATGTGTATTTTTCTTTTTTTACCATAAATAGGGACTATATATGCTGTAGTCCCTTCGGTTGTTAAGCATTAGGAAGTTAGTGTTAATAGTTAGTAATTAGTTGGACATGAGGTTGTATTACCATAACGAACTCGAATTGACCACTACTACAAAGATGAAGGACTATTGTGGCCTCTTCTTATAACAAGGTTTTTTTCAAACTCAAATTCTCTAAAGAAAGGATTTGAACTTGTTACTTCTTGCAAGTGCAATAAATTCCCTACCATTATATTAAAAGCCTATTTGTAACGAAGAGTTTGGCATGCAAGTGCATGGCCATCCCTAACCAATTCGGCTAGGTAATGATCCTCTATAGCTATTGATGATCTCAAGGACCATCAAGCCCTTATTCACGCTATGATCACACTCTCATGATCCTTTATGCATGTGTATTTGATTTTAAAGTTTTGTTAATTTTTACCCTTTTTTTTTCAATATATAAAAACGAACATATTTAGGAAGTTGAATTTTTAGTTTTCTTTTTCTAATATAAATTTAAACATATTTTTATGTATACAAATTTTTTAGATTGAATTTTAAGTGAAAATCGCTTTGTAATTTTTTTTTATACTATTTTATGCTTTATTTATCTTTTTTAAAAGTTTTATATTTATATTTATATTTTTTTATTTAATTTCATATTTAACATGTTTTTCTTATAAGTGAATTGGCTTTCAGGACAAATTATATATATATATAGTTGTAAAGTGAATGATGTGAAATATTGTTTAAGAAGTTAATTAATAAATTATTTATATTTTGACAGAAAAATTGAAGTTTATAAAACAAAAATGGGCCTTCGGGTGAAAGCGGAGGGGTAATTAATGGAAAACAAACTCGTTAAGGGTAGAATAACATTTTTACCTAAACGAAATAAGAAAATGAGGAAAGCAAGAAGGAAAGTAGACGGATTTGGATCATTAGCAAGAAGAAAGAAAGAGAGAGAGGGAGAAAGATGGCATTGACGTTGGTGAAAGGAGCATTGAAGTCGATCAGAGAGAGAGGACTGGGAACCTTTTTACGAGAGCTCAAAGAAGAAGGCTACCTGTCAGCCCCGAACTTTTTCTTTCTTTCTTTCTTTTTATTTATTTATTTTTCTAATCTCGGAAAACAAATCAATCGAAACAAACTATGTCTTGTTTTTAATTTAATTTCTTGATGGGTTGGTTTTGTCTGATAGGAAGGGATTTAGCAAATAAGAAATTATTATATTTATTTTTATAATTGTTGTCTGTGAAATGTAAATCGGATGAGGAACGAAGAATTCTATTAGTTTTCTTGGGATTCATTAGGTTGAATGACAAGATGGGTTAATCTAAAGAGGGGGTACTGACTGCTTTATTTTCTTGCTTACCATCTTTCAGGAACTGCCTTCACGATGGAAATCTTTTGTAAGTTCAAAGTTGTTGTTTTTTTTTTTTTTTTCCGAAGATTGTAGCAAAAGATGTGATCCGATGTTTATTCAATTCATATTATTCTTCTTCTTCTTTAATTTGTGAAAACTATGCAAGTTGAAACTGAACAGCAATTAGCTGAACATAAAAAGCAATTTGTAATGATATGAAAACAATTTTGTGTGTCAACCATGGTTAGTGCATTTTCAAGTCGCAGAACTGGGATATTATTCAGGAGGTTAGTATAGGTTTGGTATGGTTTCAGCCTTGAATTGCCTTTTTGTGTGCCTTGGTTTTTGCTTCAAATGAAACCCATAAATGGCTGCTGCATTATTTCAATGAAGACGCTTGAATCAGTATGTATGTATGTATGTATGTATTTGTACACAATTCGCATTGTGGTCACAAAGGAGGGGCAAGGTATGCATGTTTAAAGACAGTGAGTATGTGATTAAAAATTCTAGTCCTTCATTGTCTTTTTGCCATAGCAGATGGATCAGCAAATCCTGCGACACCTATCTATTTGGGTGCCTTAACTATCATATTTCTTTTCGTGTGTTCCATGTTACATATCATTCCAACATGCATCCAAATGTTCTTAAATTATTAGCTCTAGTAACTCTTGTGAAACTCTTGCATTGCTTATAGAATGTATGATGCACTTTAATTTTAGAAGCATCTTTCTCTTTTGTAACGAATGGTGGTAGGGATTAAATATAGAGACTTCGAGTGATGCATGCTTTGAAGCATATGAACAAGAAATGTCTCTGCACAATTAAATGATGACTTATGACTGTAAATATATTTATCAATAATCCAACAATAAGTATGATGTGTACATGTGGATGTGTTTTGATTGAGTCATTGAGAAACATGTCGTGTGGTATCCTATGTTTTTAGACAGTAACATTAACAGACAGTAACATTAACGCACCCTATCCTATCTAGTACCATGTCCATATTCATAGTTCATTTTTTTTAATGACATCATATATGAACATGCCTTTCACTGCTTGAGTCCCAATAAACCCTCATAGCTATTTTCTTTAGTTTTTTTGGTCTCCTTACCTGCTTTAAATCTACCATTAAAACAGATAACCTTGTAGCCAATTATATGCTATGGTGCTACTGAGATGAGAGGTCTTTTCGAAGCATCAGTTTAAAATGAAAAGATGTGGATTGATATTGGCAAATTAATGGCCACCTTACTAAACAGACCTACATGCACCTTCTTTCATTTTCATAATATATATTTTGGTAAAATTGGTTTTGTTATTTTTCCTGTCACTTCTTAATTCTGTTTCACTTGTTAAATGGATGAGCCTTCCATCAATTTCTATATTGAGCCAGATTAATTTTTCATATCTTATAGGAGCCTTTATGATTGTTTTTATTTTTAATGTTTGGTCAGTTTTTGTAATGGTAATTTGATTGATTTTAGGCAAACCAAAATACACAATGTTGGTGCAAAGCTTGTTGGCATTGACAAATTTGGTAACAAGTATTATCAGAAACTCGAAAACGTTCAATATGGTTAGTTTTTCTTTCTTGTTTTCATATAATACATTTCTTCACCACTGTCAGATGAATGTATTTTGAAAGTAATGACAATTATGATCACCTCACCTTGCAGTTGCGACATTTTTATTCCTACTAGGGCATATTTTGAAGAGTGTTACCTGATTATTCTTGTGAATTTATTATGAATGAGTGGTAGAACTTTTTCATCGGTTTCAATTCTAAGAGCTATTGCCAACCTTAAGATATGTATGATGCAAGAGATCCCATTTCTTTTGAAGGTCCAGTTTTCCTTTTCTTTGTTCTTTTTCAAGCTTTTCTTTTTTAGGATGCTATATCGCCCTTTTATAATCTTGTTCTTATTCTCATTCAGTATAGACTTTCCTGTGAGGCATTATGAAAAATCATCATAAGCAACTGTAAGAAAACTTGGATGGCTTTTTCATTACTCATCTATATTTAATCAGTTACTCTGTAATAAGGTAAGTCTCTTGGCTTCCTTATGGTGTTTGACATAGGGAGCTTTCTGAGGGATTTCTCTACTTTGATATTTAATGGAATGTGGAAAGAGCTTCTACATTAGGATTTTATTTTTCAGTTTGGCTGGGACACATCCTCACTTTTTTTTTTTTTTTCGTCTTTCTTCAGTTAAGAAACTTTTTCCATCAGAAAAAAGAAAAAAAAAACATTAAAGTTCCAAAAACTCTCATTTTTCCAGTGATATAAGTGTGAGATACATTTGATTCTTTTGCCAGGACCTCATGTATAGATTCTTTATATCTTCATATGATGGATTTTTATTCACTTTTTTTTTTTTTTTTTTTTTTTTTTTCCCTCTTTTGGAATTTGGAAAATTGGATGGCCATTCTTTTGTATGGGTTTTTATTTTAGCTCTCCATGCATGTCATTGGCACGTCAGGACTGCACTTTAAGAGATGATGAATACAAGAGTGAGAAGGGGAGGGATTGCCCCTCTCGTCATTTGGTTTCTCCCAATTTTTATTTATTTACCACTATCGTTTTGGTTTGTTAAAGAACATAAGATAACAGGAGCGGACTGTCTGTCTCCTCATATAGCTGAACCCAACTACTTTGGGGTAGAGGCTTTGTTGTTGATGTGCTTATCAGTTATTGGTCTCACTTTTATGATGTCATTCTCTCAATTCCAATAGCATGTGAATGCACTTGATACTAAAATCCAATTGACTTGTTACAAATATTGTGAGCCTATATGAAAAGGTTTTACGTTTTTTTTTTTTTTCCAAACAAAGAAACTTCTTTGTTGTAAGAACTCTCTTTTTTCCTTGGAAGAAAGGAAAATAAAGAGGCAGGTCAAAAATGAAAAGAATGAGAGGATGGTGGGTTTGGTACTTTCCTATTTACTTGAGCTATGATTTACTTGCCAATTGGATGTTACAAGCCACCAATGGAGACATGCCCTGATACATATAGTTATTACTGTTGGCTGGATTTCATGTTTTTTGTGGCTCGTTTGCATGTGTGGGACAGTTATAGCCATCACTAAGACTCTATTCTAAAGTTTTAATGCCCCAAGGAAATTTGACACACCCTGTAGTGTGTAATTTTTTGCAACTCACTATGAATGCTACTGATTGAAGGTTTTCATTGTTTGCATTTATGCTTTAAGCGCTTTGGTTTTGACTTGATGTGGCTTTTTGCAGGAAGACACCGATGGGTTGAATATGCTGAGAAGAGTCGCTACAATGCTTCCCAAGTACCACCAGAATGGCATGGTTGGCTTCACTACATAACCGATCACACTGGGGATGAGGTGACACTCTTTTAACTAATTGGCAAAATATAATGTGAAATTTCATATTGACAAAAACAATTGGCTTTTTTAATGCAGCTTCTGATGTTGAAACCAAAGAGGTATGGTGTTGATCACAAGGAAAATCTCTCTGGAGAGGGAGAGGAGTACATATACCATTCAAAAGGACATGCCCTCAATCCTGGGCAGAAAGACTGGACCAGATACCAATCTTGGGAACCCACTAAGACCAAGTAATCTCTTGAGCCCCCCAATTTCCTGTAAACTTGGAGATTATGGATATTTAGACCCAAATTGAATGAATAAATGTTTTATACTTTGTTGGAGCCTCAAAGTTTTGATTTATTTACTTCCCTCCGAAAGAGCTTAGAACAAAGCAAGTTAATAATTTTATTGATGATATTCAGTTTGAAATCAGGGCCATGTGGAAGTATAAGCAGATGCTTTATCCATAATTTTGTCTTATAGAGCAGCTGAGATTAATTTAGCTACTTTGGCAAGTGCTGCCAGCGTTCTTGTGTTGAAAACCTTTGGAAGGGAAATGTATGATTCCTGCTCTGCACATGTTAATGCAGCCCCTATAAGGTCCACGAACAAAAGGGTTCATTATTCTGTTCCAAGGATCCATTTTGCTTTGCCTATATTAGTCGATAGGTTCTATAGCAAATCAATGAGAATCAGGGCCTTCAAGTGTAATTGAAGGTCGTTGGTGGAGTCGTAAGAGGATGCGTTTCTGACTTCTCAGGTCAAAATTTTTATTTTTACATTCAATAGCTCTTCTTTTCTTGTCTTTGTGGCATTGGATATGGGTTGCTCGTGGATTTGAAAAACTCGAGCTTCTAAAATTAGTCTGAACAAAAACCTGGCAAGTGATGCGTTTACTCTGTTCAGACTAGTGTATATATTTTTAAATTTTCTTATAACTTCATTATTTTCATTCTTTGTCAATTTATTATGATTTTTTATTTAAAAAATAAAAACATTAAAAATTAAAGGATTGATGAGAAAAGATGATATTTTTAAAAATAAATTTATATTAAATTAAAGGTGGTTAATATTAATTAAAGAATTAAATACTATTTTTTAAAGCAGTGAAGACTAATTAATTTGTTTTTTAAAAAAATATAGGGACTAATTTTTTAATTTACTTTTATGTATATATATATATTCACAAAGGTTATTGAAAATAAATAAAAGACATGAGTTATTTGAACAACAATCACTATTGATAGATTGTTCATTTACCTAAAATCATTGTTCATAGAGTAGCAATTTAAGTAAATTTCGACTGGCGGTCTTTTCATGATTTTTCTTGTGTATTTTCGTGTATTTTTGGACATTGATTTTCAAATTTAACATACTTTTTTAAATTTTCATACCTCATGTTGTAATATTTTTTTTCAATTCGTAACTTTATTTTTCTTTTATTTTGGTCTTTACATGCTAGAAAAAGAGCAAAACGAGAGAGAAGAGAGAAGAGTGACGGACGACGAGGCCTATTCCAACTACCTCGATGGTCAACCTTACCATCATTTTGCTTGCCTAAATGAGTAAATACATTTATGGCAGTGGCAAGCGATGAGATGATCGAAGGAGATACATCACAATAAAAAAATATTTTGAGTTTTTTATTTTGATTTAAATTTTTGTGTGTTTTTGTTTTTTTTTGCATTAAAATATATTTTGAGATTTTAAATGATTTTTTTTTTAATGTTATTTATGTGATTTTGAGGTGTTTTTGAATAAAAATGAGACCAAATTAAGAAGCCAGGCTTTCCGACGAAATCAAACTCGTCGAAAATGGCAGCGGTTGCTAAATTCAAAACAAAATTTTTGTTTTGCCCTAGCCCTGGCACGCAGCCTTGTCCCCAAGGCCCAAATGCGTAGCATGGTGCCCTAAGCCTAGGCGTGGGCCTGGTCCCCAAGGCCAGACGCACGGCCTGGTGCCCCATGCCTAGACATGCGAGCCTAGTTCTTGGTTTTTTTTTCCTTTTCTTTATTTTTATTTTTATTGTTAAGTTAAAATTGTTGAACATCAAACGTTGTTATTTATATTTCTATGCAGTGTAACGAGATATATATATATATATATATATATATATATATATATATATATGCTTTTTTTATATTTTAAAGTTAACATATATTTGAGCTTATATTATTTTTATTATTTAAAATTTATTCTTTATATTTAAAATTTATTATAAAAATTCTTATCTAATTAATACTTCTTTATATAATATTTTATTGACTGATAAATATAATTTATTTTTATCTACATTTGAATTTTTTTAAAAAATAAAACATGATGTTTTTTTATAAATAAATTGCTATACATATATATATATATATATTTTAAAGTTAACATATATTTGAGCTTATATTACTTTTATTACTTAAAATGTATTCTTTGTATTTAAAATTTCTTATGAAAATTCTCATCCAATTAATACTTTTTTTATATAATATTTTATTGACTGATAAATATAATTTATTTTTATCTACGTTTGAATTTAAAAAATATAAAACATGATGTTTTTTCTTTTCTTTTTTAAAATAAATTGCTATAATATATATATATCATGAATTCCTACAATTGTAAATGATATATATATATATATATATATATATATATATATATATATATATATATATATATATATATATATATATATATATATTAAAGTTAACATATATTTGAGCTTATATTACTTTTATTACTTAAAATTTATTCTTTGTATTTAACATTTCTTATGAAAATTCTCATCCAATTAATACTTCTTTATATAATTTTTTATTGACTGATAAATATAATTTATTTTTATCTACGTTTGAATTTAAAAAATATAAAACATGATTTTTTCTCTTTTTCTTTTTTAAATAAATTGCTATAATATATATATATCATGAATTCCTACAATTGTAAATGATAGTTGTATATATAAAAATATATAATTATTTTCATTTAAAAGATTAAAAATCCTTTTCGGTTAATTTGTCTCGATCTATTTGGTACGGTCAATATGTATATATAAAAAAAAACTATCGAATAATTTTTTTTATTAAAAATTAACTATACATTTTCACACATAATACAAATTAGTTTCTCTGAATATTTTTTTAATATTATAGAAAAAATTTATTTGAAATTAAATAATTAAAATAAATTTTTAAAGAAACCAACTAATTATTCAAATACAATTTTTTATGTTAACATTATTGATTATTTTGTGTATATATATATATATCAAATGCATGTACTTTCAAACAATAAACTTCCCATCAACATTAAATAAAAATAAAATTTTATTTTTTATTAGTTATTTTTTTTATACAAATCAATATATTAATTGTAACTTTATTTTTTAGAAACAATTATATATATATATATATATATATATATATATAAAGTATTTATTTTTGAATTTTTAATTAATATTATAGTTTAAAGTGTTACAAATTTTTATTTAAGAATTAGTGAATAAAGAAGAATAAATCATGTTTTAGTATAAATTTTATAAAAGAAATAATTAAATAAAAAATTTAATGAAAAAATTATAAAATTTTGAAATGATTTTGTTTTATCAAACTCGTAGCATTGCGTGAATAACTTCAAAAATTAATCTTCTCATCAACATTAAATACGATTAATTTTTTTTCATTTGCTATTTTTTATACAAAGTCAATTCATTAATTATAACTTTATTTTTATGATATAATATTATAAAAAATATGTTTTAAAAGTTTTTTTTTTGAATTCTTGATTCATATTTTAGTTTAAATTATTGCAAGTTTTTATTTAAAAATCAATCCATAAAAAAATGAAATATGTTTTTTAATTATAAATTTATTAAAAAAATTAATTAAATAAAAAATTATAAAATTTTGAAATATTTTTTTTTAGACGTGCATTGTAGCGCTAGCAAGAAAATAATTCATACTAAGGTTGCGTTTGTTTGGGGGAAAACAAGTTCCTTTTCCTCATTTTTCAATGTTTGTTTTACATTCGGGAAAAAAGTCAATGAAAAATAATTTCTAGTCAACGGAAAATGATAGAGTAATTTTGAAAAAATGTTTTACCGGTTTCAAAAGAGGAAAACATTTTCCTTCTCATGAGTTGTCTCGCTCTCTTGTTACATAACTCTCTCTCGATATATTTTAATAATTTTTTTCTCTATCTTCTTTTTATTTAAAATATATCATATTAATTTTTAATTATTTCTTATCAATTATTATTAATTATTTAATTATTTTTTCTCTATCTTTACTAATATTTGATTTTTTGATTTATAGATACATTAAATATTCTTAAAAACTATTTTTACACCTTAAAATTATTTTTATAATAAATATTTCAATAACTTATCTCTTTTTTTTACTATTGTCTCAATCACTACCTAAGATATAGTTAAATGATTGAAAATGATTATTACAAGACTATATTTTTTTGAAAAAAGAAATTAAAATTAATTAATTCATCAATAAATACATTATTTTTTCAACACTATTCATTTGCAATTAAATCAATAATTTATAATTTTAATCAATTGTAAAATTTTGTTGGTAATTGTAATGAATAATTAGTTACAAATTATTCCAACATTAATCTTTTGAGATCAAATAAATAATTATCTATAGATGATAACAAATAATTTATCAAATTATTTTTTAGACTAAATTATCATTTCAATTTCTTAAAAAAAAAATTCTTAATTGAGTTACTAAAATAATAATGCTAAGAATACATAGAATTTTTTTTTACCAAATATGAATGTTGACTTAATTTTGTCCCAAGCAATTTTGATGATTTGGTTTGATTGTTAAAAAATATATTTTATTTTTTGAATTAAAATTTTAGAGTTAGTATTGATGAAAATTTATTATATTTTTCTAAATGTATCTTATATTATGAAATTATGAATGTCTTTTTAAAATTTTCTCAAAACTTGTTGATATAATAATCATATAAGTTTTTGTATTTTAATTTTCTATATCAAACAAACGTTGAAATATATTTTTCAGTAGCTTTTTCATATAATTGTCAAATAGCGAGAAAATATTTTCTTGAAAAATAATTTCCGATAAAATAGCTTCCTCGAGAATTGATTTTCCTATGGAACTTGTTTTCTCCAAACAAACGGAGCCTAAGAGACAAAGGTTTGGCATTTATTCATTATTGGTAGCATCACTCGGAGACATAACCACTTTTGTTCAAAATCTTTTGTGCTTCATGTGATTGGTACATCTAACTTTTTTAGAATTAAAGCAAATAGCAATGCCTTGAAGTAATTTACGCATGCCATCCTCTTTCCCCCTTTATTTTATTTTTCTTCTTTCCCGAGCCATTGCAAAAGAGACATTTTTCTTCTATTTATATCTTGCATGTGTGTAAAATCCATAATTGGTTTTGACATTTGAGATTCTCTTTTCGGTAAACAAGAAGTGAAAGACTAATTATATTGATTTCAATCCAGTTGATTTGAACCAATTAGAAAAGCTCATCGTAAGAAAACCTCCGATGGGAGGTCTAATATGTTTTATGTCATTGCCAATGCTATGCTAGCAGCGAGTCACTTTGTCCAATATGTTTTCTTCTTCTTCTTCTTTTTGAAGAATTGAGTGTTTTTTTTATTGTTTAATTGTTATGCAAATAAACAACCTAGTTGGGTAATTTCATAAATGGCTTGAGAGTCGGGTAGA